TAAAACATAGAACTCCTGGTGTAGCACTCTGGGTTAATGCACTGGACTACAATGTTGGTTTGAACCACAAGGTCAATGAGTGGTTCAAGCTCACCAGCTGCTCCTTGAAAACCCTATCCAGAGTCACTACCAACTTTGTAGTAGTTAACAACAACAACAAAATAAAACCTAAGGATCTCTGGTGGTGTAGTGGGTTATGCTTTGGGCTGCTAAATATAAGGCACGGAGTTCAAGTCCACCAGCTGCTCCACAGGAGAAAGAGCAGGCTTTCTGTTCCTGTAAAGATGTACCACCCCAGAAACCCTACATAGGGTCACTATGAGTTGGAACCAACTTGAAGGCAGTGGGTATTGTTGTTACATGCCATTGAGTTGGTTCCCACTCACAGTAACCCTGTATAGAGTTTCCAAGGAGCAGCTGGCCAATTTTGAGGTTAGTAGTCCAGTGCTTATCCTACAGCGCCACACCCCAGGACTCCAGTAGGTATGGTATGGGATATAAAATATAGTTATTATCAAAAGTGAAATGTTATATCTTACCTTTTACGCTCTCTTTTTTTTTTTTTTTTAGTACACTAAATATTATTTAAATAATCAAGTTTTCTTTATACTTAAAAAACAAAAAATATATATTCGTTTATATGGCTAAAGGGCACATTCTGCCAGCAGTTTCGTGCTCAGAGGCACACAACTTTTCTCAGTCCAGGGACCTAGAGCCTGCAGCTGCTCTGTCTCTCCATGTCACCACCTCTGCAAGCATCTCTGCTGTCATCACTTTTCTGGGTAGGGATTTCATGCTTCACTCATGTCCTTCCTTCTTGATTGTTCCTGAAATGAAAGATTAACTACTTACTGCTTTTCGTTACATTTTCTTTTACTGTTCACATTATTTCCAATCATTTCATATTATGACAGCATCCTGATAATCATTCATTCATCAGGTGGTTAAGAAGGGTCTACCACTATGTGCCGAGCATGGCTCCAGGTCCCTGGTGACAATAACAGCCCAAACTCCTTGTGCTCATGAAGCTCACATTCTGATTGGGGACAACAAAACAGGTGGCATCCCACTACTTAGCATCAAGGAAAAGTGACATGTCTATAAGACTTAAAACTTATGCTATAAACAAGAACAAAAGAACATTTTTATCCAAAGGTCTAAAGAAACAGGCAATGTCTTGCTTTCACAAAAACTAGCACTTACTTAATTTCCTTCAGGCTCTTTAACCCTTGAAGTGTGTGGCTGTGTTTAGCAAAAGCAATTGTGTTACCTTTTGTTTTTCTTTTTCTTTTTAACTATAATTTTTTCTAAGAGCAGAATGTTCTCTCTCAAGATCTGGTGTGGCAATATAGGATAAGAACTGGACTGCTAACCACAAGGTATGCAGTTCAAACCCACCAGCCACTCTCGAAAGCCCTATCCAGGGTCGCTATGAGTCAGAACCAACTCAATGGCACACAACAACTACAGGCACTATTTCAGCAACGTTTAAAATTTTGCACATTTTTTATTAATGAAATAAATGTTTCCGTCATATTAATGAAAAGGTTATACTGTATTGTTGGACATTACCCAAGCCATGATATTGTCTGTAACCTCATATGCATGCAGAAGTTGGACAGTGAATAAGGAAGATTGTAGAATTGTTGCATTTGAGTTATGGTGTTGGAGGAGATTATTATTGAAAGTGCCATGGGCTGCCAAAAGAACCAACAGATCTGTGTTGGAAGAAGTGCAGCCAGAGTGCTCCTTGGAAGCCAGGATGGCCAAACTTCACCTCTCATACTTTAGACATATTGTCACTGGAGAAGGATATCATGTTTGGTAAGGTGGAGTGTCAGAGAAAAAGAGGAAGATCCCCAGAGAGATGGATTGGCAAAGTGGCAGCATCAATGGGCTTAAGTGTGGCAACAATTATGAGGTTGGCCCAGGACCGAGCAGTGTTTTGTTCTGTTGTGCATAGGGTCGCTATGAGTTGGTACCAACTCCATGGCACTTAACACCACCAACAACAACTTTCTGGTTTAAGTTTGTGCACCAAACCATTCTTATTTAGTCCAATTACATTTGAAGAGAGGAGCAGAAATGAAATGACAGGGTCAAAATGCATGAATATTATTTAAACTCTCCATGTGGATTGGCTACTTGCTTTCTTAAAGAAGCCACCCTTATCCACTCCCACCAGCACTCATTTCATTATTCCTTGCTGAATCTATGCTTCATCTTCCTGAGTTAGAAATGGGAACTCCTTAGTCCTCCTTCATTCCTGTCTGAGGATAAAAGAAAATGTTCAAGGGACACCAGTAAACCAATCCAGGGACCTACCCAAATGAAGGGAGAGAACCTCTTCTTCACATCAGGAGTAGTTCTACAAAGGGGGGGAACGCTGAGTGCCAATAATTACCATAGGAGGGGAGATGAAAGCTCCCCTGTGCATGGAGAAGTCTTCTTTCTGTCTTCAGGGAGGTCAGTTAGTATATCCGCATGGGTAGAAATGAGGACAAAGTCCAAACAGCCAAGTGAAACGTCTTTTCTGTAAGCTGACACCAACTCATCTGAGATTCATTTCCTCTGTGTTGTAGTTACTGGGCTTCAACCATTTGAAACAGAGTAATTACTCAGAAAGCAATGATATAGATGAGCTCTCAAATGTGAAAGTGTATGCAGAATGTCCTGCAGGACTCTCGGGTTGTGTGGGAAGGACCTGCATGGTGTGCTTCTTGATAGCCTGACTTCCTTTAGGGCAGTGGGGAGATGGAGCCAGGATAGGTGGGTTATGATGTTCAATTGTTCTAACTCAACAGCCCCCAAATGCTCAACAGCCCTGGTAGTTTGAATTTACCTTTCTCCATAGGAGAAAGATAAGGCTTTCTGCTCCTGTAAAGGTTTACAGCTTCAGAAACTAAACAGGGTCACTCTGAGTCAGAACTGACTCGGTGGCGCAGCATCAACAGCCCCAAATGCTCAAAAGACAAGTAGTGGCATTCAGTGGAGGGTTGTTGTTGTTGTTTATTGGTGTCTAGTTGGTTCTGACCCATAGCGACCCTGTATAGGGTTTCCAAGGAGTGGCTCGTGAGCTTGAACCACAGACCTTGAGACTCAAACCAACTTTACAGTCCAGCGCATTAACCCACAGCGTCATACCAGGACTCCTAATGGAGGGTTAAACAAATGAAAAAAGAAAGCCCAGGCTTCAGACTCAACCTAGAACTGACTCTGGCTCTCCGAGCACTGGTCTAAAGAGTTGGATGCTGCCTTCAGAGCCTGCAACTTCATACCTGGCCTGTTGGGGAGCTGGCTGAGAAAACTGCCAAAATTTATTAAGTTTCTTTCTCTGTGTTGACTGAAACTTCCTTAGTCCAAGTTGTCTTATATCAACAGTATACACTTTGAATTTCCAATCCCTCAAAAAATAAATCAGAGTTAGAATATGAATCATCTCAAATATTTGTGCAGGAAGGTCTCATAGAGGGTAGAAAAAAATCCCCTAATAGATATTTGAAAATCAAAATGGCATATCTCCTTTTAGTTGCCTTCAAATCTCCCCATTCCCCACCCCTCACCCTGTAAGCTTCAAAATGTGAACCGTTCTTTGAAATAATCAGAATCAACTATTTGCTGCCCCCTTATGGGATTATTGCACCCACACTGAGGCAATTAACTCTGAGGTCTACCAAAGTCACATCAAATCCTGATCATCCTGAGGTCAACCTCAACTACAGGATTGAGTTTTGTCTGACACAGGTGTGATCCGCTCCTAACACTCATTTCATTCTTAGTGAAAAAGTCAAGACATAACAGTCAGACAAGGTGAAATCAAGAAATAATAATAGTCAGATCAGGTCTGGCAAAGCAAAAAATGTTTATTGAAGTGGGTGAACGCACAGAGAAGATTCTGGGGTCCCTGGTGAAATAATGGCAGACCTGAGCACCTTGGGAATGATTTTGGAGTCCTCTAGCCAGTGAATTGGGCCCGAATAACATCCACAAGGTGAGTCTTTCAACTTCTGGGGTGCAGCTACAGTGGGGATAAGGGCCTCCAGATACAAACTCGAGGCAGGTGTATCACTTCTGGGGAATCCGTTGGGGAAAATAAACTGGGTAACTCACATTGGGGCTGATCCCAGTGGCTTTAGTGACCTTTGAAAATAAAGTCTGAATTGATGGTGACAAACGTTATAGTGAGGAGCCCCCTGGGTTAAGTGTAATCAAAAGGTCAATTGTTGGAATCCACGAATTGTTCCTAGGAAGAAAGATGTAGCAGTCAGCTTCTGTAATGATTATGACCTTGGAAACTATATGGGGTAGTTCTACTCTGTCCTATAGGGTACACTATCGGTCCGAATCCATTCATTGGGGCAGTGGATTTGGTAAGTGGGTAATGATAATAATAAATGCAGTTACAATGCTGATGAGTCAAAACGCACTGATTCCTGTGTTGTCTGTCTGCCTTACTTCCTCCTTTCCTTCCTTTCTTTCTGAGAGAGCAAGCGGGCCAGAGGGTCTGACTTGGAGAAGGTATTTCTTCAAGGCAAAAGCTATTGTAGGTGTCCATAGAAACCCTAATTGGACATAGGCGTGCACTCTGAGAGTCTGGGTCAGATATTCTGGCCCATGGGCAAAAAAGAAAACGCACCTTCCTTCCTTCTATTTGGTGAATCTGTGCGTGTCCAGGTTGTTGTCTGCTTTATCTCATAGAATTGGAGAGAATTAGTCGAGGTGACCCCTCACCCGCAGCCTGAGCTGGGAGAAAAGCTGATCTCAGCAGCCAGGTTTTGGGGAATTCAAATAGCTCGTGGGTTCTGGAAAAATCTGGCTTGGCAGAGCCGACTGGAACTTTTTGCTGCCACCCGAATAGGTATGTCTGGGGAGCCCAAACCACCTCCCTGTGCCTCCCTTCTCTCCCTCTTTCTTGCCCACCCCCCTCCGTCCCCTCCACGAGCTTGGGGTAGCTTTAGGGAGTCCGAGACCGAATGCACTGGCTAGGACGGGCCCCAGCTTCAGGCCCGGCTCCGGAATACGGAGCTGTCGTCCCCAGAGAGCGAAGAGGCTGAGCTGACCCTGTGCGCTAGGCGGCCTACACTCCCGCAGGCCCCGCGCCACGCCCGGGAGCGAAACGAGCGGTCAAGTAGGAGGTAGATGACCGGGTTGGCGCAGCTGTTGACGAAGGCCAGGCAGGTGGCAATGGTGAGTCCCCAGCGCAGCGCCAGCACCAGGGGACAGGGCAGCGGCAGCACCCCCAGCTGCGCCAGGTGGAAGATGGCCCGCAGGGCGCTCAAGGGCAGCCAGGAGCCCACAAACGTGCTCTCGATGGCGAAGATGATGCGCAGTGAGTTCCTCCGGGCCCGGCCCAAGTGCGGCGGCCTGCGCAGGCGGCGTGAGATGCGGCAGTAGCAGAAGAGGGTGACTCCCAGGGGCAGCACGAAGGTCAGCAGCAGCAACAGCAGGCTGAGGCCCTGGAAGGTGTCGGAGGGCTCCTCCCCGCACTGGCTGCCCGAGTCCCCAGGGAGCGGCTGCAGCCCGCGATAGGCCAGGGCTGGCAGGCCGGCCAGCAGCGCCACGGCCCAGATGCTGCAGCAAGCGGCCAGCGCGCAGCGCGGAGTGCGCAGTGAGCGCGCGTCGAGGAGCTTCACCACGGCCAGGTAGCGGTCCACACTCATGCCAGCTAGCAGCAGCGCGCCTGCGCAGCGTGTGGCGGCCAGCGTGAAGCTGCTGAGCTTGCAGAGCCCCTCGCCGAAGGGCCAGCGGCCTCCCAAAGCTGCCGCGGCGGCCCACAGCGGCAGCGTGAGCACGAAGCCCAGGTCGGCAAAGGCCAGGTGGAGCACGAAGGTGTCCACGAGCCGCCGCGGGCCCCGCCTCCTGGCTAACAGCCACACCACGAAGACATTGCCCATCAGGCCCACAGCGAAGGCCGCCAGGTAGAGCGCAGGAATGTAGACATAGCCGTAGGGCAGGTCCCAGGACGGGCACAGCTCTAGCTCCTCTAGGGAGCCAGATCCAGAGTAGTCCCACTGCCCCGGCCAAGCGCTGGGACTCCAGGGCTCGATGGAGTGCATGGCCAGGTCACCGTCAAGGGGGGCCGGATGGGCCCCTGGGCGCAGGCAGCAACAGCTCTGAGAAGGAGGGGGGTTTGCTCTTCACGGCCGGCCGGTGCCCAGCACCTCCCTTCCTGCCACCCCAAACGGAGCAAATGGGTGGGCAGGAAGGTGGAGGAGGGGGTGTGTGTGCGGTGGGCGGGGCAGACTTCTGTGGTAGAGATGGTGGCCTCTGATTTAGGGTTGGCCTAAAGGGAAGGGCAGGGGCAGGGTGGGTCCTACGAAGAAAAGTGTCCAGGGCCAGGAGACCAGTTATCTGGGAGCATGGTCACTTTCTCTAGTAGTCGCTCAGTTTCTTTATTTCTGAAGTAAGCAAGGGTACTTGCTCTACTGTCCCAGATGTCTAATGGCAGGTTGCCAAAGGTGATGGGGACTCCTCAGGCCTAATCTGTTCTTAGTCCCCTTCAGCGGTGGGCAGTGAAGAGCAAAACTCCCTCCTCCTGTTTTCTCAGTGAGGAAATTGAGCCCGGGATAAAGCCTCAGCTGTCTCCTCTTCACCTCCGTACAAAAGAGGGCTTCTACTATCTGGTGGGCATGGTGTGGGGGTAGACTCTCATGCTATTATTGTTAGTCTCTTGAGCTGCCGATAAATGTCTTACTCCTATGAGTGGCTTTTCTGACCAAATCAAGTCCTCATGGACTCACACAGAAGGGTTTGAAGCCAAGGAGGGAGGTGTATAGCTAGATTGTTGTTGTTAAATGCAAAAGGTGGAGTCAGTTCTGACTCAGACCCTGTATAGGGTTTCCAAGGAGTGACTGGTAGGTTTGAATCATAAACCTCATGGTTAGCAGTCCGGTGCTGATCCTACAGCACCAGATTATCCAGCTGGCAAAAAGCAGAGAGCCAAATGGCTGCTAATTCTTTGCTTGTCCCCACACTCTTCTATCCTGTAACAATCTACCTGTTTAGTCAAAAACAACACAAAAAACTCAGTACAGAGAAACTCGGTACAAAAGACGACACAAGATGATACCTAATTAAGCCACAGATACTTTGCCCGAAGTTCAGGGTCAGGAACTTAAGGGAAGGAGAGGCACTTGGGACTGAAGGAGTCAGGTTCAAATTCATAGAGAAGGGCAGAGATGCAGTCTATCCTTACAGAGTTGGCTGGTGTCCTGTGGAGAAGATGGGTGAGCAAAGTTTATGCTTGTCCGCTGAAAATGGGGTGCAGCAGGGATTCGGGGTGACTGAAATTCTTCTTCAAAGACATCTATCTCTTCATGAGTGCTAGTACTGATGCTCTGGGTCTGTGTCCTTCCAAAGTCCACCACATTGTCACCAAGAATGGGGGACTGACCGGTTCAGCAATCTGATGAAAATTTGAGGATAATTATCAAGTTTGTCTGATTCAGCTTAGTTAACAGTGAGCATTTTGGGCATTGCAAGTAGTACAGTTATTATTTTGAACATTTTATTGGGGTTGGGGTGAAAGTTTATAGCACAAATTAATTTCCTGTTCCATAATTTATACTCGTTTTGTGACCCTCTCTGGGTTCCTTGTTTTCATTCGCACATCTTTCCTGCCCTGTCCTACCTTCTGAACTTTGTTTTGGGGCAGGTGCCACCCTCTTGGTTCTCATATAATTGATTGTTCTGAGGAGCATGTTTTTTACTGATGTTACTGTTCACTTTATAGGTGATCCCTGGGAGTGGATTCAGTTCCAAGTTTGAAGGGTACACAAAGGAGTGTCAGGGGTTCCACCAGTCTCTATTAGACCAGTAAGTCTGGTCTTCTTTATAACTTTGAATTTTGTTGTACATTTTTCTCCCACTCTGTCCTTGACCTTCTATTGTAGTTCCCATCGGAGTGGCTGGTAGTGGTCGCCAAGCACCATCTGGTCTCAGGCTAGTGGAGGCTGAGGGTTCCTGTGGTCTGTTAATCTTTTGGACTAATTGTTTCCATGAGTCTTTGATTTTCTTTACTCTTCTTTACTCTGAATGGAAAGAAACCAATAGTTGTATCTTAAATGGCTGCTTGTCAGCTTTTAAGAAGACATGCAATTCTTGATCATAGAGATTCATTGTTAACCAGGAGGAAGAAAGATACATACTGGATATATCAACAGTCAGGATTCAAGAAATCAAAAGTAAATGTTCTAAACAATATCATCTTAGTGCTTAGAGACAGGAGTGGAGTGAATTAGAAAAGGCTTTCTAAGAGATGTTACTTGAGGTTAATTCCAGGAAGGTGCTAAAGGGCAGCAGAAAAGAGGGGAAAGGGTCAGACTTGAAAGAGGCAGTTAAAAGAAAAATCATGTTGAAACAAGGAGAAGCATGAACCTCAGGGAACAAGAAGCACTCTGTCCAGTGTGACCAGAGCCTGGGGAGTAGGGATGTGTGTAGTGGTGGCAAGAGATGAAGCGAAGGGTAGTGTGGGGTTAGGAGTCCATAGAGATTCGGGAGCCAATGGGTACTTTTGAGCAGGGGTGCAACATACATATGTGGTTTGAAAAGATTACTGGCAGAACTGTGAATTAGAGAGGGTTCAAGTCAGAGAGACTCTTCATGATTATTGGTTTGGGGATGGGGAGAGTCTCAGAACACTGGTAAGAGGAACAGAAAAAAGAGGACATGGTTAAGTGATAATTGCATCATCGCAGGTCTCAGCAAATGCCCAGCTGCAAAGAGGAGTCAAAGATGACCAGTTGCCATTGAAACATGGTTACCCCATGTATGTTAGAGTAGAACTGTACTTCTGAGGGTTTTCATTGCCTGGTTTTTTGGAAGTAGATTACCAGGCCTTTCTTTTGTGGTGCTTCTGGGTGGCGTCAAAACTCCAACCTTAGCAGTTGTGTTTGTCAAAGATAGGCCTGGGGTCTGTTTGTCTGTTTGAAAACTATGTGGATTGTAGTTGTTGTTGTTAAGCGCTGTTGAGTCGGTTCTGACCCATACTGACCCTGTATAGGGTTTCTGAGGAGCGGCTAGTGAGCAGTCCAGTGCATTAACCCACAGTGCCATGCCAGGACTCCAATTATGTGGTTGCTGGCCCCTATTAATTGAAGGTGGGGAGCACAGTGTGGATGTATATGTTGTTGTTCTTTTCAGGCGCAGTCAAGTTGGTTCTGACTCATAGTGACCCCATATAGGTTATCTGAGGAGCAGTTGGTAGGTTTGAACTGCTGACCTTGTGGTTCATAGTCCAGTGCTGATCCTACAGCGCCACACCAGTGTATATATACTGTTGTTAAATGCTGTTGAGTGGGTTCCAACTCATAGTGACCCTGTATAGAGTTTCCAAGGAGTGGCTGGTGAGTTTGAACCACCGACCTTGCAGTTCAAACTGACCTCGAGGTCGAGTGCTTAATCTACAACACCACAAAAGGAAAATATTCTTAGCTTTGACATGCTGATTTCTGATAGGGTAACAAAATCATTTATGGTCCAAATCAGGATATTTTTTGAGAATGAAAAAGACACAGGGCAATCAGGCAGTACTGTTTTGGGAAAATTGAGAAATAAGTTCCTGTCAAGAACTTATTTCCTCTCCTCTGTCAATTTTAAAATGGAGAAAGGCAGGCAAGAGGAGAGGCCACCTAGTGAGTGGGCTCTAGACTGGTCCTTGCATGGGCATTCCAGCTTCTGGGCTTGGGTTTCCACCTCAGAGTGTGGGAACTTGTTACTGGAGACTCTGAGTCATTTTTCTCATGTCTGGCCACATGGTTGCCCGTGAGCTGTGCCCACATCCTAGAAAAGTTTCGGGGCTGTAGCCCCTTCTAAAGAGGCCTGTAGGGGCAGTGTCTGCTTTATAGAGATTGGGGCAGTCGGGGACAAGCCCAGTGTTGCTGGACTTTACTCCCCTTGGGCATACCACCATCAGTGGGCCCAGACTCTGTGACTGATTCTGAAAGCTAGAGATGAAAACCAGAGAAACCGCCAGGTAAAACAGAACAGGGCAAGCGGTCCAAGAGGAAGATATAGGTAGGGGGTTGAGGAGAAGTAGAAGTACATTGTTTATTTTAAAAACACAAAGGCTTGTGTTTCCTGGGGCCATGGTCTCTGTACTCAGGAAGAATCTGTGGTCCTGAGCACACAATGATTCTCTTTGCTGAGCCATGGGCCCTGAGGCCCTCACTGAATCTGGACAAGAGGAAGCGTCTAGGAGCCCAGTGTGGCTTCAGTGACCAGCTCCATGAGACTGCTCTCGTTTCCCTTGGTGAACTCCCCACATCATTAGAAATAAGTCAACTAATAGAAATGCTTATCCTGATGCACTGAGAATCCCAGTCATTCTCTGTACAAAGCCCAGGAGTAACCTTCTCTCTTCCTCCACCTATCTGCATACTTCATGAGCCAGCTTAGAGCCCAACCCCATGAAGCCGCCTCTGATTACTGACAGGACTACATGGGCCAGCCTTGTCTTGTCCGTGGGAGAAAAACCTCTAGAGTGAGGGCAGGTTCTTATCTGTCACAGCGATGGGCATCAGCCTGGGAACAGGAGATAATTAGTAATCTAATGCTGAACTAAATTGCTATCAGGTAGTGCCGTCAAGCTGGTGCTGACTCATAGTGACCTGGTGTTTATCTAAAAGTGCCCTACCAGGACTCCATGCTTTCAGGAGTAGGTTTATTTAATTCGTGCCCCTTATCGGTTATATTTCAGTTCTTAAAATTTTCCCTCTCCCCAATCTAAATTTTTTTTGTACAGAAAATTTAACTCTGTAGGGAAATTTTTTTAATGTATATTTATTTCCCTTTTTATTACCAAAATGCACACAATCATTTTGGAATGATTGGAATCATTTGGGAAAGGATAGAGGTGATGGTTGTACAATATGATGAATGCCGTCAGTGTCACTGAATTGTACATGCAAAAATTGTTGAAATGACATATGTTTTGCTGTGTATTTTCTAACTACACACACACACACACACAAATCCCATCTAATCACATTATAGAAACTACAAGAAGAGAAGCCACACCAGTCCTAATACCACAACCATTTTGGTGAATTTCTTAATAGCCATTGGCATTTTCAAAAGTAAAGAACTCACTTGTAATAACATTATTCTCAATTTTCTCTATTTTTCCACATTCAAGAT